GTATCTCACAGAATTAGAGAAAACAATCTTAAAATTCACTGGGAACCAAAGAAGACCTGGCACAGTGAATGCGCCTGGGCAAAAGGCGCATCACCATCGCTGACTTGAAGCTATACTATAAAGCTACTGTGATCAGAGCAGCACGGCGCTGGCAAACACACACCTGAAGAGCAGCGGCCAGAAGACGCAGAGCCAACCCCCGACACACTCGGCAACGTTATCTTTGACAAAGGTGCGAGCACATTCACTGGAAGGAAGACAGCCTCTTCAGTAACTGCTTCTGCAAAACTGTCTGTGCACACGCTAGAGACTAAAAGTGGCTCCATCTTCACCGTGCACACAACTAAACACAAAACAGATCACAGATCTAAGCACAAAAACATCAACATTAAATTTGCTGGAAGATAAGACAGCGTGCTGAACTGCCAGCAGGTTGTCAACCAGGAAGCCCTGCTGGACTGAACCCACGTGGTGCTGCTGGGTGTGGGGCCCCCGGAGGACCACTGCCGGCAGTGTAAGGGGCAGAACCGGAGAAGAGAGGCTGTAGGGAGCCGCTGGTCCCCGGGGCTGCTCTGCTGCCAGAGGAGCTCATCATGCTGGCTTTCCTGGTGAACGCACCTGTGCTCAGCGGAGGAGGGGCTCGGGGCCTCGCTGTCGCTGAGGACGGCTGCGGTACTTTTCGGAGGAGTTCTGGTGCTTACCTTGAGCGTTGCTTCCTGGCTCCAGTACTGACCCCTCAGCCTGCGGGCACAGACCCTACAGCCCACTGGCATAGGCTTTTTAGCTTTCCCCACTGACTTCGGGCCTTCCCAGCACAGGTCCACGAAGCATGCCTGCATGAGACATTGTTGTGGGCTCTCGGCCTCCAGCTGGACTCATGGGGGGCACTGCCACAGGCTCTCGGCCTCCAGCTGGACTCATGGGGGGCACTGCCACAGGCTCTCGGCCTCCAGCTGGACTCAGGGGGGCACTGCCACAGGCTCGTGGGCTTCAGGTGGACTCATGCAGGTACTGTTAAGGGTTCTGGGTCTTCAGCTTGCAGGACCTCAGCATGGCAGGATCCAGGCCCTCACTGGCTTCCTTAGGCTTGAATGTGCAGACAGATTTCTTGCACTCTCCTATTGTAAGATTCTCTGGGTGACTATTGTAAATAATCTTATAAATGTGTGTCCTGCATTTCATTACTCCCCTTGCAAAACTCCAAACTATGACAAGTAGGCAGAACTCACGAAGACATGGGGGTAGACAAAGACTACTTGAGTAACTCCCCAATCCCACAGGAGTTATCACAAAGAGTCAGCAACTGCAATCTCATAAAAAAGCTTTTGCACAGCGAGGGAAGCCACCAGCAGCGTGAAGAGACACCCACTGTGTGGGAAGTGACATATGCCAGCTGCTCCTCAGACAACCGGATTACTACCGAGAACATAAAGAACTCAAAAACACCAGACCTCCCAAATGCAAAGACCCGCTCAAAAATGGCCTTCTGGGATGCTCCCCACACTCCTCAGATGAAGAAATATAAACAGCAAATAAATATAAGAAAAACTGTTCAGAGTCGCTGGTCATTTGGGAGATGCAAATTAAAACAACTCTAAGATTCCATCTCAGTCCAGAAAGCATGGCGACTATCAGGAACGCTAGAGGGGCCGTGGGGAGGAAGGAAGGCTTCTCCCTCCACTGCTGTTGGTTGTGCAGACCGGTGCACCGCTGCGGAAAGCAGCATGGAGGATCCTCAAAACCTAGGGCTGGAGGGCCCATCTGACCCCGCGGTTCCCGTTCTGCATCTTTGCAGAAGAATTAAAAACAGAAATATATGTGCACCCTTGTTTACAGCAACACAATCCGTGATAGCTGGATACTGGAAACAACTCAAATGCCCACCTGCGTGTAGAGAGTAGACAACAAGATGTGCTCTTTTTACACACTAGAGTGCAAGCTTTCATGAGTACATGCGTGCAACTCGAGACTACACTCGTAAGTGAAAGAAACCAGATGTGCACGTGTGGGTGTGAAAAGCTGAGCAAGTGAATACGATCCCAAATGAGGACGCTGTGAGATGGGAAGAAACTGTTCAGAGGGAAAGAGCAACGAATGGGAAAGGAGGGAGAAAAGCGGGAAATGGAAACACCGCCGCCGCCACCACCACCACACCGAGACAGCTAGGTAGGAAATGGAAACACTGCCGCCGCCGCCACCACCACACCGAGACAGCTAGGTAGGAAATGGAAACACGGCCGCCGCCGCCACCACCACACCGAGACAGCTAGGTAGGAAATGGAAACACCGCCGCCGCCACCACCACACCGAGACAGCTAGGTGGGTACACTACTAATTTCTCTTAGCTCACTGAAAAGTTAGTGCAAATATCATTCGGACAATTAAATACCTACTTCTTATACTCTAACTCATTTAAAGAGGACAATATGCAATGTTTGAACCATTTTTCTCTGCTATTACTTGTTTTGAAATTTTGCTGGTATTTTTTTTCCTCTTTAAAAGCAAAAAAAGAAAACACACACAACAAACATTTCTCCCTTTCCAGTTGAAGCTGTTTAGGGCCCAAGTATTAAGCCATTCATTCTCACTGAAAGGGTAGGCCACCCCGCAGAGAATTACATGTTTCGGCCAAGAGGCTATAATCAGTGTTTCTAAATTAAAAGAAAATCACTCTCCTAGAAAGAATGCTGAGCTTTCACAAATAGTTCTTCCATTATTATTTTCACGATACATAAAACTTTTTCTTAGGAAGTTACAGAAATGAGCATTTACATGCACACTGGAATCAGCTGACCAGCACTGCTGATGACCCACCCAGCACGCGAGCCTTCGCCCTCCCTAGTCCCGACTCTCCAGCACCACGTGCCACCGTGGGGAGTGCAGTGCAGCAGGACTGAGCCTGCAGCTCAGACGGGAGCCTGGTTGCCCCGGCAGGCGAGGCCCCGGGTGGGCGCAGTCCCCGTGCCAGAATTTGTGCAGAGGCACGAAGAAAGGAACGCGCCCTCGGAGCACTGTCAGGGAGCAGAGCTGAGGGTGGGAAGCACGGGACCCCCAAGTCACAGCGGCCGCAATGTCTCTCTCTCGAAGGTCCTCAGGACACTGGCTGATCAATTCAGTGCAACACAAAATGGCCAGGGCGCGCGCGTGCGCTCTGAGCAGCCGCGCTGACGCTGACACGTAGTGACTCGTGGGCTTTCGGCAGCAAGGGAGGAAGATCTGCTGGGTTTTCAAACGGCTTCCGGGCCACTCAGACCCATCTGTGGAGAGCACAACTCTTCCTCGAGCCACACTCAAGCTGCCGCTTCCTACCTGACGCAGACAACGGGAGCACGGAGGACAGCACCGACAGCCATGGCTTTACACGTCTGCTTGTCGTTTATTCTTTCAAGACAGGGTCTCACTCACTAAGTAGCCCTGGCGGCCCTTAAACTCGGGGCCGTCCTCCTGCCTCAGCTTCCTGGATGCTGCGACCACAAGTGCTCGCTACCACTCCCCGCCACAAGTTTCTGATAAAGAAATGTGATTCGGGCCGGGGAGATGGCTCAGTGAGTAAGTGCTTCCCTGGCAAGCGCAAGGGCCTGAATGTGATTCGGCTGGCATTTCTAGGAAAGTGTGTAAACATTAATTATAACTCAATAAACACTGGTAATACTTAGCAAGACCAAACTTAGTCCTTAATACTTCCGCTGCATGTAATGTGCTTTGCCTCCTGGGGCTGGGATCAGGGCCTCACACATGCTGGCCAGGTAAGCCCCGACCCCGCGCTCCCGCCCATGCCCACACTCCTGACCACCTTTAGTAAGGGTGCTCCCCTCATTAATTACTGAGTCTTGCTTTAAATCTTTCAGGGTTCACTACTTTTTAATTGCATCACATTTATATATTATCATATATGTCCTTTAGAAAACTGCTTCAAATATTTAGTAACATTCAGAAAAATATAAGTAAATAAAAATAAAACACCTTGCTTTTCCTAGGAATGTAGGGATTTAACTCCATGGCTGCAATACCTATGTACCCATGGGAGAAGCTAACAGAATTTTCTCCGGCTGGCTCGCAGACTGTTATGGTTTGTGTCGAGGTGACCCCCACAAAGCCTCACGCCGTCGGGGGCGGCTTCTGCAGTGTGTGATTCTCCATCCCAGGCTGGGATTGCAGGTGTGAGTGGAGAGCCTGGCCCTGGGTTGGTAATCTGCAAATTACAACATCAGGAGGCGGGAGGCTGGCTGCTGCCACGGCTCCTGCCCCTCCCTTTGCTCTCGCTCCTTGCCGCTGCCATGAAGGGCTGTCCTCTGCCATGTGCCCCTCTGCCTTGGAGCCAGCTGAATATGGACTGAAGCTAAATAAACCTTTTCTTCCTTAATTCTGGTGTTCGGTAATTTGTCCCAGCAACGAGAGAAGAGTAACTGAGACACAGACCTTACAAAAATAGAAAGTTCCACTGACAAAAAAATAGACTTGAAAGAAGCACACCTCGATCTATGGACACAGGTTTAAGAAAGACGCTGTGACTGGCACAGCAGACCACACCACCAGCATGGAACAGTCAGTGACGCGGATTAACAACAGAACGCTTAATTTTAGAAAGAGGCCTTACCTTTTGTGACAGTGTAGGACTCACTGATTTCGGTGGAAAAGTACAAGGTATCCGTCCATGATAGATATGATAGGGCAGCAGGAGGCTGGGGTCCAAGGGGACCCAGGGGACCGAGAGGCTGGAAGGCACCCCGGGAAGGTCGCTGTGTGCTTTGTGCAGATTGTACGCTGTCCTCGTGAGCGACCCGTCTGAGGCCTTGTAGATCAGCAGGGAAGAGTCTTCTGCAGCATGAGACAGCAGGTAGGACCCCTCCTGCAGGCTGAAGGCACATGGGGAC